ACACATCGGTAGGTCGGGACTTCTCCTAGTTAACAAGGGTTTGGATCTAGACAAAGATGGTGAATCTTGCTTCTTTTAAGTTGTGCACAGGAATTGTGGGGCCTACCACTGATCCGGATGCGGTACAGTGTACTGACGATTCGCAGCAGCTTAATGCTGTCCATGTGCGTTTGCCTCAACCGAACAACCTTACAGTCGTTCGGCGAACAAACCGAAAACAAAACCCCCCTGGTATGCGGTAGGTAAGACGACATGCCGACACCATGGATAGGTTACATATATATGAAGAGGCAGTGGATGTTTTAAACACCATTCTTTACAGTGTTTCAAGATGGCGGTGGACGAGACTGAGTCGACTGCAGTCGCCCTTCGGCATTAGAGGTTACTGGAATTCGTCTTGAATTCGAAGTGGTACGGTAAGCGCCGGTGGATGGAACCTGATATTTGAAAGAATTACTTGGGCTTTGAACCAATGGAGAATCATTCCTACTTTTCAGCAGACCATAAGCAGTAAGCGCCAGAATGGTTTCCGCTCATCACTTCTGCATTTTCTTGAAAAAAAGATTTGTATACAGGGCTGGTGAACGTGCAGACGTTGGTGGCCAGCACCCAACGGTCGCCCACGATATACCAGGGCAGTTTTACGCCTCGTATTCAGTGAATCGTCTGTGAGTCACACTTTAAGAGCATATCACATTTGAATACTCCTTCATCCTCTTTTAGTTTGTTGGACCGTCTGTCAAACTATGGTTTGGTCTGTATTCCGCGTTTGACCACTACCGATGGTTTTCGGGATATCAGGCAGTGGCCAATACCTACTTCTCTTCGCCTTCCTCCCATGGATCGGGGAATTGTTTCACGGTGCACGGTATGTCCTAAACTTGCAACTTTTTTTTACCCTCATGAATCAAGGAGTTTGACGCAGTCCCACCTATCTCTCCACCGAACGAGAAAATATTTTCGTTTATATAATTCTCGGTCACTTTTTTGTAGGTCGGCTGGGTTTTTTGGTTCGAAAGTCTCTTTCTTAGTCTAGATCTGTGCATCCTGCTTGATGCAGTAATAAATACGTTTGTTCAAGAGTTTATAACGTTCGTTTCATGCTCGTCATCCAGACACTATTAAGCTGTTATGCTACTGGGCCAACCCATAAGTTCCTCCCACATTCATGCGTTTACGACCTATGCGTCACAATCACATAAGGCTGTGTACATGACAAAGCGCGAGAAAAACCGCATTCGAAGGCGGACGGCATGAGTTAGACAACATTGTTAGTTGATATCTGGATTCGATTTCACTCTTCAACCACTGCTGGACGCTATCTCCTGTTTTGTACGCAGACTTTTGCGGAAACCTGATAGAATATCAAGTCATTATTTCGGTTACTTTCATGCTTTCGCTGCGCAATGTGATGTACTGTTAAATCCTTAGTCAACCATTCACTTAGTGTTGTTTCAACATTTATGAACGATATACTCTCTACCAGACCATACAATTAAGGCACTGTGGGTCAACTCCCCTAATTTTGTTCAGTCTCATGCTACTTATGACCTTATGCCTTTCTAAGTTTATTGTTTTAAACTGTTTACCAAAGACATAACATCGGAAGCCTAGCATTCTTTATTCCATGGGTGCAGTAAAATATCAAAGTAATACGCTCAGCTGAAATGGTGTACAACTCCTCATCGAACGCCAGATGTCAGGAAGTTGAGTGCAGATTGATGGTACTAGTTTACGGGCATCCCTTTATAGCCTTCGCGTGTTGTACTGACCACGATGTGTTGACGGTTGTCTCATACGAGTGTATCCCATTTTCTTGATGGCAAACTATTATTGTGCATATTTCCCCCTGGATTTTCGTTGATTCAATTTCGAAGCTCAGTCAGATTTATTTGACTGAGCCGAATCGGAAAATGCTATTCCAATGTGTTTATGAAAGGCCGTTTTACACGTAGAGCACTCCCCACCTGATATCTGAACTACGAGCAACGTGAGGACGGATAGTTTCATCAACGCTTGTTCGTGCTGGTGCTTTTTTGTGTGCGCCATCGATCTAAATCTGTTCATCACAAAAAAGATGCGGCTCGTAGTTGAATCCTAGACGGCCACGAGTATCTACCCGAAGAATCAAACAAACCGAAGTGTATACTTTTGATAGGTGACAGTGGTACGTGGCGTCGCTTCCACATTCACTGCTCAGATAGTAGGAAAGTCAGATTGAATGTAATTTTATAAGCTCAAACACAAGTTTGACTCTTCTGGCTTTCGGTTGCTGAACAAAGATTCGCAGGTCAAACGCTGACATAGCAATGGGGAATGAAAGTGGATACCTTTGAAGCAAGTGTTACGAGATCTTTGCACCATCCTTCTCCCATGTGACTAGGATTTCCACACGACGCGGCGCATACTCCGTCCCTTGACGAGCTCGTTGTATGGACACTTCAAGTGAAGCCCTCAGTTTGTTATACGAATTTCGCGCCAGTTATGGCTAGTAAACATGGCGAAAGCCGTTGTGCGGACAGTGCCTTGCTGGAACGCGGATCTCCTATGTTTACTGTGAAATTTTTTACCACTATCTATTTTGCGCCTGGCCTTTCCCCTGAAGATATTTTTGTACAAATTTTCACCGCTTCTTTTTGTTATCGCTATTAGGGAATCCTTTGTTTATTGTTAAATGGCGGCTCAGCGCCTGTTTATCTTAGTTGTATTGATGTTTAGGCCGACGAGGATGATATTTGGCAGATGATCTTCAATTATTTGATCCAGTTTCTCCCTCTCAGTTGTGACTACTTTTAAACATGCCATGTATTATCCATTGGTTTTTGTTGCTATGGTTTTCCCATTCGTGGTGGGGAACCGACCTATGAACGACAGAGCACCGCCGTTGGCGCGAAGGGCAGAGGTACCCGTCTAGTGAAGATGATTATTCAGAACGTGCTATTAGCACACTTAGTCAACTGATTCATTTCACTGTCAGCAATGAGTGCGGCTCACGGTTAAACAGAGTTTGGATGTGGCAAGGCATGTCTAACCACTAATTTATTTTGTGTCGTCGCCATCCTCTAGGAAATGGAACTGGATAAAGCCTTCATATCTCGCCGACCGACATATTTTTTTGATCGCCTTTATCGCCACTTGATCGGTCCGGAAGGCTGTTAGAAAAATCAATCTTCTGATTTGCCTATGAAATGACAGTTCTTATCATTTTTTGTTCCCTCTCATAACATGCTTTTTCTGTGGAAATATCGGTCTACAAGAACACATGCCTGTGCTTGGGGGCGAGATGGACAAAGTGGTTGGAGCGCGAATTACTGACCGGAAGGTCGCTTCGAACCTGACCTTTGCCTCTCGACTTCCCCTGTCTAGGCTTGGGTGATCTGGCAATATCCCAGTCCTCGTACTTCCTTTGTGCGGCATGGCAGCTAAGCACCGAAAGGGTGCTACAGCTGAACTATTTGGTACTCCTTAAGTCCCTGCAGTTCCTCCTGTGAAATGATACAGCAGGATGTAACATATCACCGTTTTCAAGTATAAACACTGTTTCCGGCTGGGGTTGCAGAACACGTGTAAGTTATCCCTCTTAACTCCTTGGAATGTGCTGTCGACTTGTCCTGGGTCCGTCGGATGTGTCGTTTGGAAGTGCGCATATTTACTCTTTGACCATATGACATTTATCTCCCAATAATTACTATTATGAGATTAGCTGGTGCATCAGTTACTACACAAGGGGTTCCAAAACGGTCAAAAAGGGGTCGATTGCGGAACCTCGCTATTCCTCTTGGCTGTCTTCTGATGTAATGGTCAATCAGCAGCTGTCTAACTGCATTAAATATCAGATGTATAGAGATGTATAATATAATATAGACTAAGTGTATTCTAGTGTTTTGTGCCCATTGTTTCTTGTGTGCTTATTGGTAACTGCGCTTCGATTTATTGGGGAATACTGATTCTCAGGTCCGTTAAGGCTAATTAGAATACGTGGTCCTCTGGGGTGCCTGAAATTCTTGTAACCTTGATATTTGGTCCGTTTCTTCAAAGTTTGATTGCTGTTGTCTTCTGTCGATTGATTTTTGGCATTGGCTGGTTGGTTCAATCCAATTATAACCTCTGTTTTCAGCCGCAGCCGATCTGTACACATGGACGCCGGAACGTTGTGATACGAAGCTATGGTTTTTATGTGGAAGTGATGCGCAAACAAAAACTCCGTCGACCGACGTCAGCAAGGGTTCTTCTGGATGTCCACCTCCATATCATCTAGTCAATGGGGCCTGTTTCTTGGTAATTTCATCTGTTGAATTTGGAGCGTCGGGTTACCTTGGTCTGTTACTTAACTGGCCCAAGTAGACAATAACAGCCACAATTAATGCTATTGCGCATTGCTTAGAATGGATTCAATGCCTAGTTTACGGAAACAGCCCAGAAAGAGATCTTTACAGGTTCAAGTCATTCTAGATATAACAGCAGAAGCGCCAGAACCTTTATCTCACAACTGCTTGGACTGGGTAGACAACACAGTTTGTTTAGGAATATTCTTCTTGAGTAATGCGGTCCTCTCGTATAGTGGCAGTAGTGGAATATTTCTTTGCTAGTCCTGCCTTGTTTCCTTCTGTCTAAGTTTGATTTTACCTGCCAAACTTCTGATTTTTTTAACCGATTTGTGCAAAAGTCCAACAGAATGATGCCCTCGTTTTATTTCTCCAATCTGGTAGAAGGAAATAAGGGCTCGCTAAATTCGTAGCTGATGGTCCCCTACATGACTTGTCGATCAAGAAAACGTCGACACTTCATGAACACATCATTATCTTGAATACTAATTGTACGGCTGTTAGTTTTCAGGCAGCATGGTAACAGTGGTATGTGGCAGTTCGTCATTTGCTTCCGGTAGCCGAACAAGTATGGCACATTCGCTTTTTCAATTAATCTATACTTTTGTGGCCTACTCTAGACCGGAGCAGTCATTTAAAACTCCTGAATCCCAATTTTATTTGATCCTTCTTTAGCCTAAGTCCAGTCCTGAAGATCGGCTCTCACGGTTTGAGGCCGCCCATGAATGCCGCAAGCTAGCGAATGGAACGTTGGCGACGATTTCTTCCTTAGTGGAACAAGGTAATATTCCCCATAAGATCTGTACGGTCCATTGCTTTGGTTATTCTGTTTTTATGAGGTAGGATTGTGAACGTTTCGTCACCACCTAGGAGGAAGTTTAACTAAAACATTGAGAACATTGAGGGTGTCTTCCTCGTTTGCAGCCCAGTTGCGACGCTCAGAAAATGAACCAACAAACGAGCGGTATCGACTTACCTTTTCTACGCATCGTCACTAGTAACGACAGCACGACTATTGAAACCGCTGCACCGCTGTACAACCGCGCCGATTTAATTGAAGAAAGTTCCGATTTGTAAAGAAGATCGAAATGAGAGATAGGATGAGCCTAGTATCATCCTACTACAAGCACCTGAGGTGCTTGCACCTTGAAAACTCATTCGGACAGTCTATATAGAGACTGGCAACAAGGACACTTTATTTTGTCCTCATGTCGTAGCTCACAATATCCCTAGCCGAACATATCAATGGGTACGGGGACCCCATCGCAGGAGGCGCGTCGTATCTGTCGCTCTTTGACTTTCAAGTTTTTTGGCTTCCATTTGTTAGTCACGTTTTGTTTTCTTGGTTCTTTAGCACTCGGGTCACCCATTTTGTGATTTATATTCTCACTCCACACACTTCACCTTTATTGTGATTGGTTCCATGGGTGTGTGGGTGTCATGGACTGCCCGTACTCTGTAAGTTCTGTGAGAACAACCCTCACTTTCCTTGAGTTTACTAATGGTCACTAGACAATTGGAGCTTCTAGAGAAACAGGGTTGTATCTAGTGTATTCCAAATAGTCTGTAACTTGAGCAGAACTGGCTGTAATGACATAACTGTGTGGTGATGCAGCACTCTGGCACATGTGGTCAAAGTGAATAAGGAAAGACGATTAGGATGACAACAGGCGTCAAGGGAATGACAGTGTAACAATGGACGAAGGATGGGGGCAACCTTTCGCTCAAGTCCGCAGGCGGTAAAAAGTGTGCACAACGTCACAGCTAGCGACAAAGTAACGAGAGTGTGCCGCACATAATGACATACGATTATGACTTTAGGTACGTGAGCCAGATATCCTTATCTTTCTCACTTTTATATCGATAAGCCGGTTGAGTGAATGAGCGCTGAATTACAGCTGTTGACCAAAGGCACAAAAGTAACGGTGTTGCAGAGGTGGGTAAAATTTAAAAAGCACAAGAGTTGCCACCTACAAGTGACAAAATGTGAGGGTGCTGTTACAACGATGCTAGACTATATACACATAGCGCTGTGTCGAGTTGACATTCAATGTGTTTTGTTGGTCTTCGTTGGTCTGCTATTTCGTCTCCGATTGAAATACCACTAACCATCGTTCTCGACATCGTTGTTGGTACTGAATACGTGAGTGAGCTGTACACTCGTTTTCACAACTTGTTTCATGATCGTCCGCATGTTATCGTCGGTCTCTCTCTGACAAGTATTTTTCGTCTCCAATTCACCAGATTACCTTTCAGTGATTTTGGCCGCTTCGTCTACCCCGATGTGGATTGGATTGCAGCTTGTTGGCGGGGAGCATAGATGGGATAACCAAGCAAACGTTACATTGACGAATTGGCTTAAGCGACAACCTACCGGTGGAGAACAGGTACCTTGTACTAGTGTTGTCTGCTGTTATTGTATGTTGTCTTTTGGACATGCTTTTTATCCGGGATTAGTACAGCTTGTCCGTCATCCTTGGTCAGTTGCATATTCTGCTGTTCAGCAAATTGGAGGCAAGGCGATGGACCGCAACTAGTAAGCTAGACCAATGAACTTGCAATTGAATCCGTGCGGTCCACAGGTTTTTTCCAGCCAGGATTGAGCTAATGTATGGTGGTACCAATCAAGACAGTCGTTGTTTGGCAATATTTCGAGGCTTATGGATGCGTGATGTTTATTTGTGTGTACTCGTCCGAATGGGGATTGAAATCTTTTGCCAATGGAGACCACTCCTTGAAGCCGCCACTATGGGGTATTTCAAGGTTTCCTTATATTCAGCCAGCAAACCTGTTTTAGATGCGAATGCTGATGTTCGCTCTCCTGTCCGTGTACCGGAACCCCTGACTCAAGTTTGTCCACGTCATCCGTTAATAAATCTCGTGTGAAGTCTAGAGCCTGTTGGGTGAAAGTTAGTCACTACATCTTTCTGCACCAACTATTCAACTTGTTCAGACTGCTTTGTAACTTTTCTCTAGGTCCGGTGTACTATGGCTCACAACGGACAGAAGCATTTGGGTGAATGGGAAGATGTTGATTGCGACACTAAACTCGGTTACCTTTGTCAAGTTCATCCAACGGGTAAGCTGTCTACCGAGTGTTTTCTACACTTGATCTTTACATGCTTCTCCCTTCACTGAATATTCTTTATTGTGCATTATTCACAACTTGACAAGATGTAATCATTGTTGGCATTCAATGGAATAGTAAAGTTTCTTGTGAACGATTTCCCGGCCAATAGTTCTGTTCTTTAGCTGTCGGTTCCCTGGCAAATATCTAGTGTACGATTCTAAGCGACCCCATTGCCACTCTGTTAGTTCGTCGTCAATGAACTATCTTCTCATCGCCCTCAGTGCGTTGCTTTCCGGCCGTCACTCAATATTACCATTGTCACGGGATTTCTGCCACTGAGACCAACGCTTTGTAACCGCCAAGGTTAACTGAAATTAGCTCAGCTCAGTGTTTCAATTACAAATCATGTACCGAAGCACAGTGGTTCCAGCCGTTGCAACTTCGTTCACTGAGGATAAGGAGAATAAAGGACTGAGAGCCGCGCGTTGAAGTCGATGGTCCAATCAACTGTTTGACGTTAAAGGACCGATGACATGGACTCTAAACCTCAAGGTAGTTTCAGGTACCTCGTCAGCCTTTCTGATATTCATAGCGCATCCCCTTTGTTATACTAATGCCGTTCAGAGGAATTCTCAATATCTCTGTTTGCCTGTTTGAATGTTGAACTTATTCCTACTACAGTTCTGAGGATCTGAAAATAAATTATCTGTAGGATAAAGCTGCTATTCTTCAAGTCGTTGTGAGGTTGGTGCTTACTCATGACGCTATTTGTGTATCTGTGTGCAATTTTAAGCTGTACGTCCGCAGTTAGTCGGCCGATTTCTTGGAAGTATTGTTTTTTTCTACTGTATTCGTCGTTGCCAAAAGCTCAGAAAAGTCCAGAAAAGCCTCCGGTTGAATCGAGTTCCGGAAATTTGTTACAAATTGATTTTTTGCTTCTTGTACCCGTTCGGGTAACGTTTGGCGATGAAAGGTCAGTCCTTGTCTTGTAACGCTTTGAACATATAATAAAACAGGGGTCAGTAGCCTACGCAGTATGTCAGACACAGGAGACAGCGTGTGGGCCAGAACGGATCAATCACAGATGTGTATGATCGGGTAGCATAGTTAAGCACTAATCAGAACGGTTAGAAAACATGTGACAAACCAACGACCAATGATAATTTGAATTTACATTCTTTCCTGCTGTGGAACACCATGTACCTTTATCTTGTATACATGTACGGTGTTCGTTTGGAGCACAGGGATAAGTTCCCCTCGGTTAAATACTGATGCTTTTTGGTTAATGGAATAACACAGTTATGTCGCACACATCAGACACTTGAAGCATATCGACAATTGATAAGCTGTGGTCTGGTCACACCATGAACGTATATGAAACTACAGCCCCCTAACCAGACAGAACAGACAGCTTGCGGATCAGAATAGACTGAACCTTTGTGGGCGGTATGACTGATCACTGATCAGAACGGTAATGCGATGATCGATGACAATCAAACAACCATTAAGATAGAAAATAGTGAAGTTGGGCGTTACAGCGAGTAACTGTTTCCCTACACATGCGTAGCTTGGATTTTTCCTACTGAATTCTACTTCCATTGCCTATTGGGTTGCCCATGTCGCACTGACTGATCAGCTTCACAGCCCACAACTAGTGGAGTTTACCAGGACTCATGGATACAGCCATGGTATATATATATATATATAGTATTAATCGAGACTGAATGTATTGTGAAAGTCTGAGAAGCATCATGCAGTTCTTTCATCCTTATTGGGAATCGTCGGCAGTGGATACCTCATAAGAGCTTCGAGCCCGCCAACTCCGGGATGTTAGTTTGAAGTCCTAACTCTTCGGCCATGAGCGGTTGATGTGTACTGCAATTTCGGTAACGGATCAACTGCATATCCAATTGATGGGTTTAAACAGTTGAAGCAATCTAACACCTGTGTTGTATCGTGCGGTGGCCGAGCTATTGGGTTACGCCTGCACTGAGCCTGCCAGACTACGCGATAGGGGGAAGACAGAGAACTGGAGACACGGCTGTGTTGCCAGGACAAAACATACAGAGCGTCTGCGTAAATATATATAGGATGACTAATTTGGCCAAAAATGCTCGTTCACTTGTTCGTTCCGTACAGCCAATGGTGGTGTTCCGGTCGTGAACATTCTCAGGCCCACTACGCTGGTCGTCTGTTGCTAAGCCGTGTTAGGTGCGATCCGTGGGTCGTGGGAGCAGCCAAGTCACCTACTTTCCGGACTTGTCGAACCGATGGTGACCTTGGGGATGCGTCACTCTCTGCACATGTACTTTTTCTTCTGTCTGGGCGGGCCCTGACAACCCGGCACATATACTCCATAGGCCAGGTGATTGATTGTCCCGTCATGCCCTATTTATCGTGGAAGTTCGGACCGAAAGGCACCGCATTGTGGGCACCGCATGAAAGCATGCGAGACGCAACAAAGGGCCTTACTTACCTGAGTGAGTGTCGTTCGCAAAGTTGAGTTATCAGTGACCCACCACATCAATGGCTGGAGGTACTCACCGAAACGGCAATATCACGCAACCCTTGTTGGTGTTGTACCCATTCTCCTGTTCCTATTCATAGGATAACTGCTACTAATCACTACTCGCATCCATAAGCTGCAACGACCCGAGCCATCGAATATATGTACACTTCTTACGGTTGTCAAACTGTGGACTGATGTTTCATGAGACGATAGATCCTCATACATTGGTGCACTTCTAGATCTGTTTAGGTAATCTGCGATATCAGTTCTGTGGGATGAATGATTCATATCGATAGTCGATGCACCATGGAAGTCTCAACCGAAAGTATCTGTTTGCACTGGTTAAGTGAGCTTGACTAGGAAGGCACAGAAACACTAACCTGATTGACTAGGCTGGTCTCTTCCTGGAGGCAGCCCCGTTGGAGCTGTTCTGTCTCTCATAATGCAAATTAATTATGAACTGAGCTATTTGGCTGCCGATTTGGAAACACTCTCTTCGGGGAACAGTTTTGAGCGGCAGCACTTTACTTGGTAAAAATCCGCGCAGATGTCCATTCGTTCACCGATCGATGTTCGGCAAAGAACTAGCTTGTCCGCACCACGGTCATAGTTGAATTGATTAGGTCTTCACACTAGGGACAGCGATCAATGATGACATTTTTCTGGATATCTGCGATTCCTTCGATTAGATCGATATTCTTTTTGGGATTATCTTGTACAAAATCGGCTCGGTAATTTGATAGTATATCATCATCCCATCAGCTTCCTTCGGGTTGCATGCCAGCTAGGCACCGAAATGTTCCTACAGCTGAATGACTATTACCGCTAGTTTATTATTTGCGACTGCCTGACCGACACTGTCATGGTAACATCAATAACTGCAGGGCTATCGGAATACCTCCAAGCCATTAGTTGCCACTTTGTTGTGGTGGTGGCATGGTTGTACCATGGGGGGCTGTGCAGTATTAAGCTGAAACTTAAAGGAACTGACGGATGACGCCAGTGCCTTCGTGATAAACACGCAACTGGTGCCGATTGCTCATTGTTATGCTATATTGGTTAGGCCGACTTGTGGCTTTCGACTGGCCTGTAGACGTTCGCCTTTGGGTTCATATTGACGCCCAGGCCTTGCGCTCATCACTAAATTGGGCTTATACAAACAAACCGTCTATGGCTTACTTTTGTGCACAGGTGTCCAGTGATTTAATCACTGTTGACCGGCAAATTCGTCTCGGATGCCCGCCATTCGGATACGTGATAATTATTTGGAAATGACTCAACTTGCATTAGTTCAACCACGCTCTTGGTATGCACCGGGTGCTTTTAGCCCCGGCTGTTATCGGATCCTAGCTAGCTCTACGCAAGCCTCACGTTGTGACAATTTCCGAGTATGCTTTACGCAAGCATGAAAGACAAATAGCTCACTATACTGTCGTTGCATGACTGACAGTTTGTACAGCTACTCCATCACAGTTTACATGGGTTGCTAGAATTTCGGGTTCATCTGGAACAAAATATTTTGGATTTCGCAATATCATACTGTCCAGGATTGCCTTTATCTACGCAGCATGGTTCTAACTGTCAATCAATCTTTCTCAACCAAATAACACCAAATAACACGATGCCCTTTAGGTCAGTGTTCATTTCTATAGTACCGATGAAATGAACCCAATTTAGCCCATGGGTAGTGAAGTGGCGAATCAGGGTTTCAGACCACGCTTAGTGGTTTCTACTCCGAAGCGATATTTTTGTGAATTATTTTAGCACATTTCCACCAAGAATTTTTTTCCATTTCCCTCCCATCTTCTAGCCGGCTCATTTCAAGCGACTACAGGATTCTCGCCAGATCAAGGGCGCTGCCGAACAGGCTTTACTGAATTCAACAGTCGCTGTTATCGTATTGACTCCAGAGTAACTTCGCAAACTGAATCGGCTCCTACCATGCTAGGCCAAGATTTGTGCCCATCACGTCTGACTCCACATTCCTCCGGAGAAGTAGCTCTACTGCGTTTCTTGGCGAATACTCAACCGGGCTTGGCAGAGGGTCCCATTTGGATTGGCGTAAACTTCACGTACAACGCAGCAGATGCCACGAAAGTGAGGATCTATTGCTTCAGGGTTTTGAATTTCACTAGACCCGGCTCAATGTTTCCTTCCGTTGAGTCGTTTCATGTTTATACGTGAAAGCTACTTCGTCTTTGAATGTTCTTTTCGAGGTAGTTGAGTTCGTTGCAGAACTGTTCGAATCACATTTATTAGGCAGTTTATCCTGATCGTTAATGAAACTTTGCTCCTTTCGAGTACTGTGGTTTAATTGTTTTGTTGATTCTGGTTTTGTCAAGGACTGCAACTCCTGAGAGAGTACAAGGTCCCTTGTGCTGCAAGTGTACCTTTGGACAGCTGCAAGCAATTTTTAACCTTGTTTCAAACTCATAACACGTGCGTCAGGACTGTGAGTGATCAGGTAGCAATTTCTTATATTTCTCGCGTTTGATTTGATGAGCCGCACTGCTTTTGACCGCAGGATCACGAGTTATCGAGACTTCACGCCAACAATTTGCTGACTGTTAAGTCCGTCCGTCACGAAGAGACTGGACCTTACCGTGGTGTGGCGGCTTGTGTACCTCGGCGACCCATTGAGCTATACTGGGGGGTGTCCGCACGATGCTCGCAGAGTCTGTCATACCAGGTTGGTCCATTGGTAGAGGCCCGACGAACACAGTCTCCTGGCCCTCCAGGTTGGGGGTTGGAACATGTATGGCGACGTGTTCCGTAAAAAATGGTAATGTACTTGCATTTCCAGCTGAATACCGCTGCCTTGCGGTTAGGCTTTTGAGCCAAAGGCTTTAGTTGAGGACCCTAATCATCCTCCTGTCTAGGTGTGGGCGCCCTGGCAGTATCCCAGCCCACGTACAACCATGAACAACCATGACCTATTAAGTCCGTAGTTTAGGTCGTTAACTACTAAAATAAACAACATAGTGATCATCTTGTTGTGACCGCGTAAACAACTGGTTTGACCAATATCCGCACTCTATATATTACCGACTGTCCAGTTTGCCGGTGATTTCGCTTTGGTATGAACCGCTCTGTTCATTCGCCACATAATGTTTCAGTGATTAGTTGAAACTGTTAACCAGTTTCACGTGGCATGCTCGGTTACATCATCCTGAACAGCTTCAGGCATGGTGAATATTACACTGGTTTATGGTCTCTGGGCCGGCCATGTCGTAGTAAAACGGTCCGCGTATTTTCCAGAACTTATTGGATGTTCTGTCACCGTTTTGTTTAACTGTTTCGAAAGCTATTTCAGTCCCTGTCGAGGAAACGAATTTGGTGATCTCGGGTTCCTCTAGTTCTTTCCTCAGAAATTAAACTTACTCAAAAATACGTAAAAAACGGTCCAAGGTTCCAGAATTCGTTGATTCATTGTCCATCGTCATGGACTTCAGTTTTGGTCGACATTTATACTGCACGGGTTACACGAATAAGTGCAATCGTAGTTGTCATTGTATTGTAGTGCACATTATTTTCAAGTACCAAAGTAACATCAAATCAATGTGATTGTCCTCATAAAAGTTCATCATAATGAACCTTCAGCACGTCCATCCTTTCCGGGCGTAAAAACAAGGAAAATATAACAGGGATTTCCATAAACCAGACACGAAAATACAACTTGTTAGCCGTGGCTTTCAAGGGACCTCCCTTCCGCATTCATCAGAAAGACATTAGTGTCCTCAAGTATATATATATATATATGCAATTCCTAAGCCGTACCTTGCTGTTACTGACAGTGCCCACCAGACTGAAAAAATATGGATTACGTGAATAATTGTTATCTTTTGTACTACTCTGTATCGTTTGAGCTCCCTGAGGTTAAAGTCAGCGACTAATGCAGATTGCGTGTGATGTGGGGCACAACTTTTATACTTTTACGATCCATGGAGCTTGGCCGTTACGGTGCTGATATGTGTTGAACGACGTCACAGATGGACGACTCTGTTCTTGGCTACCGGTTTCACCGTTCACTCCTGTTGTTTCTGTCTAATATGAGCAGTCTAGGTACTGTTACTTTTCTGTCACATTGAGCCACAAATTGAACTAGGGACCTCAACAGGGTCAGCGCGCCCCTTACAATGCTTAGCTGGATTTACATTCATAAATCACCACTACTGGATTCATTCTTTGTTCCACTTTCTATTCAGTTCTTCTCAAGGACTGTTCGGGTGTTTGGACGTTGGGTTTATTCTTCCTGTACCTCGCCCTTCTCATGAAGCTACATCCTTCCAATACAAGAACGGTTATGGCATTGAATTAATGGGTTTCAGCACTGGGAGCTCCTAATGAGTTTGAAGTACAGTACTGCTCCCTCCAGGGAGGTCTTTTGAGGGCTAAAACGTCATCGAGGGGGCAAATTTCGTGACACTAAATTTCTTCCCTTGCAAGCCTTTCAGAACCGATGATGCTGTACTTCCTGGCTTCCCGATTCGCTGATTTGTTCACCAAGCTGCATTGACCTGTTGTGTGCTCTTGACCCATATTTATCAACGGACTATCACGTTATATAATCTGCTGTATGCATGAGTGGTTCATTATCGTGCCCCGTCAGTGAACTCTCCCTGACGTGATATAATCCACATTTTGGCCTCAGCTTCGTACACGGCGCCAGTTATTGGTACATTTTGCATGTAATATCAATGGAAAGCAATGTAGTCGAAGGACTGGATGAGGCAAGAGATTAGCTCACTAGTTATGAGTTTCCTTACCGCGTCTGGTGTTTCCTTCAAGTTTAGTTATTTTAAAGGATTACTAGTTTTCAGTGACCAAGATGACGGGTTCACCATATTGCATCAGTATGTGTCAGTTACGCATATACACATGCATTTTGGGAGAAACGGAAAACTACCCTACCATGACAAAGGATGTTTAAACCAGTTGTAAGGTATGGTTTCACTAGTCCAGTACATACAGTCTTAAATACGGTTCTTGTTGGTTGATCAATCCCATCTGAGCAGATATTTTAAAATCCATGGAATTTTTCCATAGAAGCAAACTTGTTTTACTCGTAGATATTTCGTCAGTGTTTGTGGAGCTCGCAGCTGGTATCCATTTGTTGCTTGTGGAAGGTGACTAGTTTTTGTTGATGAGGGTTCACATTGGTTTGTTTATGTTCTGGTATAGTTTGCTAAACTGCTAAGCGTTTGTGGTCAACTCAGTTTCAGTTTCTTGCCGAGGATAGCCTACCGGTTACCATTTCATCAATGCTGGACTTTGCCAAAATACCTTCAACTACTGCTTCTGAGAGTGGTTTCAGCCAACCTACGGTCGCTCCCGTATGTGTGGCTCTCGCTCCCGACAGTCAGGATTTAGTTTGGACGCGTTGTTCTACCCCGCTCCCATCAGTCTGTGGTTATCCGCTAGGTGAGTTGCATTTCGGTGATCAGAATTTCGTTCATGTACTGTAAATAATGTTTCCTTTCCGACGTATATCTTTACATCTTGTGTTTTGGCAGCCGACTTTACATTCCGTGCCGCTACAATGGACACTGCTTGTCCGACGGGTTGGTCGTCATTTGGCCATACGTGTTACTCGCCTGTGAATGACACCGTAGATACATGGGCGGGTGCGGAGGCCGTTTGTCAGTCGCTTCACAGTGAAAGTCATGTGGTCTCTTTGCGCAGCCCAAACGAGCAGCAGTTTGTGAGTGAACTATTGCGTGGTGCACGTGGATGGCTTGGACTGCGGGTTCAGGGTGAGATTGCGATTGCGTTGCCTTGGATTTTGTTCATGACTGTCTGTATTTCAGTGTAACCTAGTTCCACTGAAAACTTTCACTGTAGTGGGTAATAATAACTTGGCATTTCCCAAAAGATTTATAGTTTGTGCTCTTAAAATAGGGATTCTCTGGAGCTCTAAACCAGCTTGCTATGTTCATACAGTTGGAATTCCGCAGCACATAATCCGCGAGTTACAGCTGAAGACCTTTCTAGGCTTAGAGTTTTACTGGAGTGACACGCTGAAGAGAGCTCTTTCTACCACAGGTGTGCAGGGAACCACTTGCACAATCAGCTGAGGACCGGTTGCCTTCATGTATTCTCGCGTATCTCGAACCTTACCTTTGCATTTCGACTTCCCATATCTAAGCTTGGGCAACCCAGCCCTCGTGCTTTCTTCAACATGACAGCTAGGTACCGAAAGGGTGTTACGGCTGAACAATTTTTGGTATCTCTGTAACTTAGGTTTCCGTTCGCACTAGGAGCCGAAACTATGCGCATAGTTTTTGAAGGTTTGTTATGTAAATTCGCTTTGTTTCATTTCCGTTCTTTCGTTTTTCTGAGTAGTTCACTTTTCGGTATGGTCTTTCTAAACCGTCTGTTGATCGTTCTTTCCTATCACACTGTCATTTCGGGTTTCTTTACTAAATTTTTGGGGGTCATTTGCATGGACTAGTTGTTCGCGAAGACGATTTTGATGATTGAAACGAAAGATACTTTGAATTACCTGGAATATCAGTTGTCATGTTCGTGTGTCGAAAATAGCCTACCGGAACATGCAGTGTGTCCTTTTCGTAGCGCTTTATTCGTCTAACCGGTGGACATTTTCTCACCAATCTACTTTCAGGTGTAATTAGTACGATCCTCACGCACGATTGTAGTGTCCCTATGGGGTGCTGCAGAACAAGAAACATGTTAGTAAGCAGACCGACTTTAGGACAGGGAATTTGTCCCATCGAGAAACCCTTCTGCAGAACAAAATGGGAGACACTTTCCAGTTCTGCGAATAGCTGGTTCAGTCCTCGAGAAGAAATACCACAATGAAATGCTATGCGGCACTGATTCATTAATTAGGGGACTGTCACTAACACATTTTATCGTAGGCATCACGTGACCACATTAATGAACTGAACTGGACTTAGACGATGATTTCGCTCTGAATATCTGAGACACTGCACAGGTTGGTACTCATTAAAGTTAACTGTGATGAAGGACAGGACAAAACAGCACACGATAGCCAGATGATCTCAATAATTACTGTTGTTTCCTTGTTATGCAAGAATAAATTTTCGTGGTGATTCTTTCAGCTTGGGTGAGTTAACTGATTGTCAATCGGTTCAATGGGCTTGGAAACTGAGATACAAAACTCACGTCACCATCTGCGGAGGTATCATCACTGTGTACACTACGTGAATGAATGTGTAGTTTTGTATGGGAATATGAGCGCTCCCCATTGGATGCGTCACTTTCGAGTGCACTGAACAACCAAGAAGGCTAGTAATTAATCACGACATTAGATTCAATATTTTCTACCCCATGGAGGAAAGCATGCATGGGTTGTATGACGCTATCACGAAATGTGTGCGATAAAAGCGAGCTCAGTTTTTGCGCACCATTTTTGCAATGTTGACAAGGTGCACTTTAGTCAACTTGTACATCATGAATCACCCATCTACCTGCCGACTTGCTTATCGTTCAATAGACTGGTAGCATGCTTTAAGGCTAAGCTGGATCGAACGCATACACGCAATTGGACTTGTCCTGGTATTTGGATCATGTACTCAACAGGAGACATTACTACTGTCCTACAATGTCAATCGATCACATATGGCAGATATGGGTCAATGGACGGTATCCGACGACCATTATATTCGCCTCCACTTGCGTCATTGATAATCATGCATCTCAAGCTTCATCAATAAATGGGGTCCATTGACTGAACTCTTCCGGTTCCGCATCTACATAGCCTTTCGATGGAGCACTTAAGACAAGACTGCGAAAATACATTCCGCATTGAGTGAAAATGGTTAAGTTAAGCACTCTTCAGACATGTTGGCCATTTTAAAATAAAGGTTATTTACCAATTGGGTGCAATGCCGAAGAATGACCTTTTTTCTTAGTGCGTTTACCGAACCAACTAATGTTGCTGACTTAAACTTTAATGAGTATGTTGAGTTACCTGTGGAAGTGTTTGTGGCTTGTTTTGGCACTGGCTGTCGTACATAAACTGTTGCGTATAACACCATGTTCATTTTCAGAGTTGTGTTTCTGGACGGGATGCGTTTAAAACTTGATAACTTCGTTTTAGTTCCGGGAAGAGCCTAACCAGTGGATGAGACAATGCACACTCCTTACGCCTGGTTTTGATTTCGGTGTACTCATTGTTCAGGTTACCAAACACATCACTGCGAAGCAGTGATCACACCTCTTGAACTTCAAGTTCATCCTCTTGCTGTTAGCTCGCTTGCAACGGACCGATTTGCAACTGCCTGGCGAGCTCCTTCTGTGCTCCATATTTGGCTTAGGAGGTAGTTTCCTCATGATGTGAACTTTTGACCAGGTCATTCTGTTTCTACTCATCGCCAGTGCTATCATGCATACATATCTTCAGAGGCATTCAAGCCGGCAACCATCCGAAAACTCCAGGTGTAATGCACAGTAGAGGTTGACATAAATTTATGGGTCTGCTGCAAGCTAGACCGTTCATGTTCTCTTATTCAATCATTGTATAACTTATGATAGGGCGGGAAAATACCGGTCGAAAAGGATATTTTTATTCGATAAAACCGGGGAACAAGTGACGTTTCAATACACCGGTCTTATTATGGACATTCAATCATGTATAACTTATGATAGGGCGGGAAAATACCGGTCGAAAAGGATATTTTTATTCGATAAAACCGGGGAACAAGTGACGTTTCAATACACCGGTCTTATTATGGACTTTATGAGAATGAAGAATGTGAAACTATGCAGACCTGTCTTCCTGATACTGCATCTGGTAACGTCCGTTTCGAATAGTTTTTGTTGACACAAGAAACTCCTCATTTTTTTCCGAAAACGTCTTGATTATTCTTGTCAGTCACAATCTTCCGTGTCTGGATTTTCAGTTTGGACAGGTTCGGATCGGATTCTTCGATTTCAGTGGTCTGATGGTAGTCCGATCAACTTTCTTTTCAACCTGGAGAAATTACTGTCTGGTTGGAGAGCAGGCGAAATAGAGCAATGTTTTGTTTTGCATGGTTCCACACGTGATTGGGATCGTGTGAGCTGTTCTGATCGACACGCATTTATGTGTCAGTTGACTCTCTCTGATCAGTCACCACTGCCTCCCACATTGGGTCCATCGAAAACAACAGGTACTGTGAACATTTTGCTTTATTTCTGTAGTTTTTAGCTGTTCATAGCTTTGGTATTATGTCTGGTTTGCATTACATTCGAACAGTACTTTGTAGCTCTCTGACGGCGACTCTATTGTCGATTATTCTTAACATTATCTTTTCGCGCGGTTAACTTGTTGAACAGTCTTCACTAATGTTGGTATAGCTGACCAGGATAATACGTATCTCGTGAAATTCTGTTAGCTACGAGAAACTCATTTGGAACAAGGGCGGGCGTAGGCCCGACCTAAAGCTGCCACCTTGACGTGGTGGTCGGGCTTGAGTGCTGCAATGATCCCGCGGGCTACACTGGCTGGAACTTCGTTCCAGAAGGTGCAACCATGCCAGGAAGGCCAAACGGGAGCAGCAGACCAAGAGGAGCGACACTCCGTACTACGAGTAATCGTGCTACGAGGCGGTCTGGGGGTAAAGTCGTACTGTCCTCTGCGACAGGAGTGTGAAGGCAGTAAGGTGTTTCTCCCAGGCGACCAGCATGT